TGTGTGTGTGTGTGTGTGTGTGTGTGTGTGTAGTTCAGATCTCCAGCACCCGTGTTAAAAAGCCAGGTGTGGTGACATGCGCCTGCAATACCAGCACAGGGAGGCAGAGGCAGGAGGATGTGGGTGAAGGATGCTCACTGGCCAGTTAGTACCTGGGAGAGGGAGGACTCAGTGGGTGAAAGTGCTTACCCTACAAACCTGACAGCTTGAGTTTACATCCTGAAAACCTGTGTGCAAGTCAGGTGACGTGACATGGTGCAAGCATCAGAAATCCCAGCATGCTCCCGACCAGGGGACGGGAGGTGGAGACAGGAAAGTGCAGAAGCTCACAGCCAGCAGCCTGGGGTGCACAGGCTGAAGAGAGCCCGTCTCCAAGTTGGTGCAGAGGTGAGGACGGATCCAAAGGCTGTCCTCTGACCGCCACACGCACATCGTGGCGTGTGTGGGTCTGCACCTTCACACAGGAATGAGCGTGCATGCACACAGACTCACACATAAACATTCTCATACACACATATGTATACACACACACATATATAAACACATATGTACACAGACACACAACACACACACACATTTGGTGACATGTGAGCTAAAGAAAAGCACATTTCCCAGAGTTCCTTGCTCCCAGTGTCTGTATGCATAGGGAAAATCTCAAGTCTGAAAGATCCTTAAAAATGAGCTCCCAGACTTATTTTCCTAAGCGTCCTCCACGGCCAGACCAGACCCAGGCAGACACTGTTGCTTTATGAGTTAAGCTGTGAATTTGGCTTGCCTGGTGTTTCTGCGGTGATTTTATTTCTCCTCGAAGCACATCACACAGATTGTGCTATGAGGGAACCTTGAGCTGTTTTCTGGAATGCTGTGGTAACTCATCCCTTAGGTGTCTCTCCGGTTACTTTGTGCTGAGCCTTCCCGACTGAGCCCCACTGCTCCATTGCAGGGGCAAGTGTTGTTCAGAGATGTGTCTGTGACCTTCACTCAGAAGGAGTGGCAGTTGCTGGATGCTGCCCAGAGGCACCTGTACAGGGAGGTGATGCTGGAGACCTACAAGCACCTGCAAGCAGTGGGTAAGCCCCGCCTCCCACGCGGCTCCCAGTGGGTAAGCCCCGCCTCCCACGCGGCTCCCGTCAGCTTGTGTGTCTTACCTGGGAAGTGTCGGGGTAAAGTTTTAAGCTTGGGGCTAGAACGATGACTCAGCACTTAGGAGTGCTTGCTGCTCCCCCAGAGGACTGAGTTCCAGCACCCACATGGGACAGTTCACAACTGCCTGAAGCTGCAGGTCCTGGGGTGTGTGTGTGTGTGTGTATGGAGGGGGGGTGTCTGATGCCCTTTTCTGTCTGCACTCTTGTGTACGGTCCCTCACCAGATGCCTGCTCCTCTAGCTAAGGACTTAGCCACTGGTCTGAGCAGGGACAAGGTAAACCCATGTGACCCCTCCCTCTTCCCCTCCCCCCTCCCCCAGGACTTAGCCAGGGGCGTTGGTGAAACACACCACGGCCTCATCATTGCGTACCCTTCCCTCTGTCCTGAGCAGCGTTGCCAAGCCCTGTCATCTTCCCATCACAGGGTGCGATGTGACCAAACCTGAGCTGATCTGCAAGTTGGAACAGGGAGACGTTCCTTGGGAACTTCCAGGTGGCAGCCTCTCAGGTGAGGAGAAGGAAGAGGGCGGAGATGAGCAAGGCTTGGTTCCTTTGAATGTATCCGGGGCTCAGTCGGTAGAGTGCCTGCCTAGCAGGAGCAGAGCCCCGGCTTTGATCCCGAGCACAGCATAAATGGGGCATCACCGCACAGGCCTGTCATCCCAGCACTAAGGCAGGTGTGTCAGAAGTTCAAGGTCAGCTTGGGCTATGGGAGGCCCTGTCTCAAACAAAAACAAACAAAAAGATAAACAACGAAAAAGAATCTTTGAGAGGCTCTAGAATTTTCAAAGAGATAAAGAGAAATGCTCACAGCCTGATATCACCCCCGCAAGTACCAATGCTCTTTGTAGGCTATGTGTGGTGTCTCGCACCTTTGAAAAAAGCACTTGGGAGGTAGAGGAAGGTGGACCAGCCTGGCTTACACAGAGAGTGCCAGGCCAACCAGGACTATGCATTAAGGCCCTGTCTCATCAATCAACCAATCAATCAATCAATCAATCAATCAATCAATCAATAATAGCAAACCCCTTTGCCTCTGTTAGACTCTCTGTAGTTATAATTTGTATCGCCTCCAGCACCCAATGCTCTGACAGTACACACATTCATTTCTGTATCCTTCTATTTGACAAGCATTTGTCAAGTGTCTCCCAGGGGCCAGTCCCATTGTCGTACGGAGGACACAGAGCAAAATCTCCACTTCCATCCGGAGTCTCGGGTAGCTAATCTGTACAGCTGAGGGCCAGTAACTGTCAGGACTGCTAGAATTCAGGTCAGATGGTGGAGAGGGAGATGGCCAGGGTGCTTCTGGGCGGTCCTGAAGCCGCCCGGAGGAAATGGACCTCTGCACAGGAGTGGTGGGCGGAGTGAGGTTATCTGAGGGGTCCCCATCCATGCCAGGCTCAGAAACAGGAGGCGTGCTCAGTGTGAGGAGCAGAATTCCTCCTAGTACTTAGCTCCTTTCCTCATTTTACATCAGTCCAGAATACGGCATCTACAGTTCATGTCTCCCCATAACAGGCCCAGCCTACCCCTGACCTTGAGGCCTGAGGAAATGAGTGATTTCTCAGGTTCACTTGGGTGTTGGGATGCAGGATGGAACAGAGAAGAGGGGAAGCGTGGAGAGTGGCTTAGAGCGCCTCTTGCAGCCGTCGGGTGTGACACTCCCACTGGGCTGCACGTCTCTTGGGTGCCTTTCAGTCCTCCTGGGCTCACTGTTCATCTTTCCCGCCTTTGCCTCGTTTTTTAACGCCCTCCTTCAGTGGATGAGGCCTTCGCCTGACACTCCTTGTTCCCAGTTATGTTTTATCCCAGCTCTCCACCCATTTGGTGGTCATGTTTGTAGCAAACCAAAGCTCCTGATGCGGTTTTCCTCGTTCTCTTCCCCTTTCTACTCCAACGTGCATCTTTATCTCTGTTCTCACATTACCCAGTGGAAATAGGTGGATGAAATGCCTGCTTAGAACCGCTGCCTTTCCAGGAGAGTGTGTCAGGAACCCAAGAATCGAGTCAGTGTAAGACATTTGTCTACGCCCCCTTTCCTTTCACATCGCATTTAGATGGATAATGTATGGTTAACTTCTCATGTTTCTAGAAGTCCAGAGGGCCGACTGCATGACAAGTGAGGAAAACGAAGACAAATATTTGAGTCAAGTTTTATTTGTCAACAACAAAGCACTAACTAAGAAAAGAAGCAAGGCTCTAAAGGAAACAGTTTATCAGGCCACAGACTCAGTGGCCTCAAGAGAAGTGCACTATAAGTGTCGCTCAACAGAAACAAGCTTGGAAAATGTTGCAGGATTAATTACTGATAACAAAAACTGTGCAACAAAAAAGTTTGATGGTTTAGGTGGGTCTCGGTCCCTGGGTACTAAGTGTGAAAAAGCTCCCATAGGATGCAAAACCTGTGAAAGTGACCAAAGGGAGAGATCCCACCGTCCTGTCGAGGACCTCACTCAACATCGGAAGACCCTGCATTTGGAAAAACCTCCTGAACATAAAAATTGTGGGAAGAACTCACACAGAAAGACAGCCTCTGTTATACACGAGGCAGTTCACACAGGACAGGAGCCCTCTCAGGATAGTAAATGCATGCAAGCCACTGCTCACAAGATCAGGTTCCAGTCTTTTCTAAGAACCCTTAGAGAAAGGAAGGCACAAGAGGCCAGCGAATGTGGGAAGTCCTCATGCATGAAGTCAAAACATGAACATCCAAGAGCTCATATAAGAGACAAACACTGTGAATGTGATATGCTTGAGAAATCCTTTAGTGAGAAATCAGGTCTTACCAGACAGGGGAGAATGCAACCAGGAGGAAAGCCTGATGGATGTAATGTAAGTGAGAGAGCCTTAAGAAACTCATCCCACATCCAAAATGAGAAAATTCATGTGGGAGAAAAGACCCATGGCTGTGGGAAATGTGGGGAAACCCTTCACAGAAAGGCAGGCCTTACTCAGAACCAGACAACTTGCACAAAAGAAAGACCTAAGTGTGCCGACAGCCAAACAGCCTTAAAGAAGTCGCGTCTGACCCTAAATCAGAGAACTAGCTCAAGAGGAAAAAGCCACAAAGGAAATGAGTGTGAGAAATCCCCAGCCCCCTCCCTCAGAGGATCGAAAAGCTCTCGACATCAGAGACCATCATCGTCCGTGGAGGAGAAACCCGAAGAGTGTGAGGAAGGTGAGAAGTCACCTCTTGGTGAAAATCAGAGTGCTTGCAAAGAACAGAAAGCCTGTGAGTGTCACAAATGTGAGGAAGGCTGTCCCAAGAAAGCGGGTCTTGCTCAACATCAGAGCTCAAACCCGGGGAAAAAACCCTATGCGTGCAAGGAATGTGACAAATCCTTCATGGTGAAGTCAAACCTCACTGAACACCAGAGAACTCACACTGGAGAAAAACCGTATGAATGCAAAGAGTGTGGGAAGTCATTCTGCCAAAAATCTGCCCTCAAAGTACACCAGAGAACTCACACAGGAGAGAAACCATATAAATGCAATGAATGTGGGAAATCCTTCTGTGTGAAATCGAACCTTACACAGCACCAAAGGACCCACACAGGAGAGAAGCCGTACAAATGCAGTGAGTGCTGGAGATCCTTCTGTGTCAAGTCCAACCTTGTTGTGCATCAGAGAACTCACACCGGAGAAAAACCCTACAAATGTCCCGAGTGTGAGAAAACCTTCTACGAGAAATCTGCCCTCACAAAACATCAGCGGATTCACACAGGGGAAAAACCCTATGAATGTAATGAATGCAAGAAAAACTTCAGCCAGAGGTCAGCCCTCACCAAGCACCAGAGAAAAACACACAAGAAGAAAGCGTCCACCAGGAGCCTTCACGGGCAGATACCAGAATCAACAAGCAAAGCTCATTGAACATCAACAAAATCCAAGAGTGGGGATGCTACCATGACAACGAGTGTAGGAAAGTATTCACTAACAGGTTATTGGGGAAAGAAACTAGAGATTTAATGTAGGATTGAAAACATAACAATATTTCAAACATGGGAATGCTTCCAACAGGTATTCGATGTTGTTGATGGAAAAATATATAATTTTAATGACTATGGAGAAAAATGTCCTTGTGGAAACACTGTCTAACTAGAAGTTATATTTCAGATATGATGTGAAACTCATTACATGACAGATAACAGAACGCCATCTGTTCTTAACAGAAAATGAAATATGGATCTTTCATAACAAGGATAATTTAGGTTGCTGATTCAGTTGTAATAAACAGCCATCTTTTGCCTACCCATCTTGATTTTCTTCACTGGATTCTCTCCTTTGCTTCTCAGAAGTTTATTTAATTTTTTCCATAGTAAAGAGGACACTGACCAAGAAAAAAGAACCACAGTGGAAAAGACCAAAAAAGCCAAACAAAACAAACAAACAAAAAACGTATAGGAATCTAAGCATTGGAAGTGAAATGACGCCAGGAACAGCTAACGGAAGCAGCATGAACAAGAAATCTCTACGTTAAAGATGGGGTCATTGAATGCCGAGTTAAAAACTATGTCCGGGGCCAGAAAGTTGGCTCAGTAGTAAAGGTTCTTGCTACATAAGCCTGATGACCCCAGTTTGACCCCTGGAAGCCATGTAAAGGCGGAATGAGAGAACTGACTCCACACAGTTGTCCTCTGACCCCAAACACGCACTGTACCACACACATGTTCACACACACACACACACACACTCGTAATACATACAATAAAATTTCAACAACAACAACAGAAATACTAAATCTAGCAACAGGTGGTTTGTAAAAGAGAAGAAGGGGAAGAGGAGGAAGAAAAATTTAAAGTCAGTCGAAAAGGGAATTTGAAAGTTAAAAGATAACAACTATATGTATTTTTAAATCTATCCAATAAAGTGTGACTTTGTAATGGTGAGTTGTGTGATTATGTTATTGAATTCAACTTCTTTGGAATTTTGTCTAGGGGGAAGGTGAACTTTTAAATATCCTATTTATGACCTGGGTGCAGGCCTTTAATCCCAGCACTTCAGAGGCAGAGGCAGGTGGACCTTATGAACTTGAGGCTAGCCTGGTCTACAGAGTGAGTTCCAGACCAGGGCTATGTAGAGAGATCTTGTCACAAAACAAAACAGCAGCAGCAACAACAAAAGCCTGGTTTTAAGATTGTAGGATGATGATCAGGGTAGTGCCTTTGACCATTTATCTGGACATGACATCTGCAGAGACTAAAGATGATAGCTATGGGATGTGGAGCCATCCCAGGTGGAGAGAGAGCACACATCTCCAGAGAAAGTTGCGATTGGGGTTTCCTCAACCTCCTGCCTCTGCTGTGCTCATAGGCACCTGACATGATGGCTACCTCATTTATTAATTTCTTCTTTATTCATATGTGTGTAGGAATGTTTTGCATGTGTGTGAGTACATGTATGTGGGAATGGGGATGCACATATACGCCCTGTGCATGTGGAGGCCTGGGGTTAATGTCGGAAGTCATCCTGGATTGCTTTTCCATCTTACTCACTGAGACAAGGCCACTCAATCAAGCACAGAGCTCATTGATGTGGTTAGTCTCGCCTGTCATCTTGCTCTGGGAAACCATTGTCTCCTTTGAAGGTTGGAATTACAGCCCACCCACCCCCCTGTACCCCCGCCAACACACACACCTGACACATGGGTTCTGGGGATCCAAAACCAAGTCCTCCTCCTAACACACCGAGATTTGAACTGCTGAACTATCTCCCCAGCCCCACAAGCTGTGTGGAGCTATAATTGTCTGAAAAATAAAAGTCTGGCTTTCAAAAGGAGTAGACACACTTTGCAGAATGGCATCTCCTTTCCAGAGAGAGGAGAGGAAAGACCTAAGTCCTCGGAGCTCCTCCGAGGCTCTAGCCCCGCCATGTGTGTGCTGGCACAACTTCCCTTCCCAGAGCTGTGTCCCACTCTTCTTGTTAAGGCCTGACAAGGTCTGTTCAGAGAAACAAGTTCTGTGACATCCCACCCCCTCGGAGGACTTGGTCATCTTTGGGATTATTTTCTCCTCATCTACCTCCTCCTTCGTCATGCTAAAGCCAAGTGTGAGGTAGTCAGCACACAGAGTGCAGAGCGGGAAGTGATGAAGAGGGTATGTCTTCTCCATCCGACTTTGGTGTGTCCTGTCTGGTCTCCAGGTCCTCTGGCTGCCAGGGCGTGGAGCTCACTGGCTGCAGGCACAGATGTCATAGGGGGTTTCTATGAATGGGGTGGGGCGGGGACGACTTTGGGCACAGACTTGTGGCTTTAGCCCTTGCTTATCTTAGGCCTTTTGGTGCAGCTCTAACAGAGTATCCGAGGCTGATCAGTTTACAGTGAAGACAATTTTATTTCTCAGAGTTACGGAGGCTAAGTCCAAGACCAAGGGGCCAGAATCTGGTGAGAACTTGTTTCTTCTCCTAGCAATAGAGAGTAGAAGGAAGAGTGAAGGGTGGGGGAGGGGAAGGCTAGAGACAAAACAAAACCCCAGGCTTTTGTTACTTGTTAATCCAGCCCTTATTTCCAGAACACGGCCCCCTTGCATCAGATTAACTTTCCAACACAAGGTTTTGGGGAACGCAGTCAAACCCTAGCAATGTTGGGTCTGGGAGTCACACAAATATTGAGCATGAACCCACCAAAATTAGATGAGCAGAAGCAATTTATTCCATCACCATGGGGTACCAGAACTTCTAACTAGTTACGACCATAGACCGGTCGCGATCTGGCACTGGGACCCTGAACAGAAGGAGCAGGTCCTTTTTAAAGCAAAAGCCACAAGTGGGGTGGGGTGTCAGGGGTGATATAAGAAAAAGAATTTTTACAATTTGAGGTTAAGTCCTGGGTGAAGGTACATTCCGGGAATTTACAGCTGGTGATAACATTTTACAATTAGTAGTACAATTTGTGATAACAAGGTGATTGTACAAGCCTAACGGGTTTCTAGAAGCTTGTTTACACATGCGTGGTTATCTTGGTGCAGCTCTTGACACAGCTGGGGTCTTGTCTTAATTTTGAACCAACTGTTCTCCCTATGATTGAGACTATAGGGCAAAGGTCAAGCAATGGAAGAAGCTGGGTAGGTGGGCTAACAGCCAGACTTACTATGGGCCCTTCAGCGCCCCCCTAGGCTGATGACACAGCCACATCATCCATGATCTGTATCATCCATTATCTACTATTAAGACTGTCCCTGCTACATCTCCACCACACATAACTCATCAAACAATATAAATCAGCCAGTTTCCCTATTCTTTTCCATGTTCCCTTTAAATGTTTACTGCTACGCTCATTCTCCTCCTGGGCCCAGGAGGAAACCTCAGGAGCCATTGTGCATAGGCAATAAATAACCAGCAATAAATGACTGGCCGGGTAAGTGACTGCTTAGGTGAGGAAATGCCAGCAAACGGCTGAGGAGCGCTGCCCGGGGGTGTGGATGATGCCTTCTTTAGTCCTTGGTGCATATCTCTGAGTCCTTCACCTTGTGATCACTAGTTTCCCGGTAGTGAGACAGCTGGGAAGAGCTACCTGAGTTCAGGGGACCGGAAGGACCATGAATCATATCCTGCTTGCTGAGGCTCGGAATGATAGACCGCTTGCCTCTCTCAGCCGTTATCCATTTGGGGCTCTAATAGAACAGGCTCATCGCTGGCCACCCTCGGAAGCTGAGTGCCTCCCCAACATTGTGTTGGTCCCAAGAAAGAAGGTGGGCCCCTTCAGAAAACTCAACCCTTCTGAGATCTATGAGGTCTCCTGGGTCCTCACATCTAGTAACCTTCCCTGGGTGTGTCATCCTCCTGAGAAGTCACAGGGAGATTCCTGCTACCGACCCCACCCTAGTATTTCTCCATCTCTGAGGAACAGTCTCCCGCAGCAAGCCTATGTAGACAGGGCTTGACGCGAGTCATTCTCATCCCCCCTTCAAGAACAGGGACATTGAAAGGGAGCAACCCCCTAAATGTCACCAACTTCTTCCATGAAGCCACTCCTGCCTACCTCTGGTTTTCCGTTCTGCTTCGGAGCCTAAGAAGGGGCTTCCTCTAAAGCCCATACAAACAGACTGGGGGTGGGGGTGGGGGTGGGGGGTGGGGGTGGGGGGTGGAGGTAGAATTTGGGGCTGAGAGAGAACTGACCCTCAATCCCAAGGCTGCCACTGACCACGATGTGGTTGTGAATGTCATAAGGCCTCTGTGGTCATCAGACCCAAACCTGACTCCCAACACGTGGCTGGTGAGGCTAAAGCGGTATGTAGATGAAGGGGCTACACTTGACTTCCTGGAGGACGTTCCCACAGCGCTCAGCAGAGGGAGGGCTCTGGTCACAAATGTAAAGACGGCAGCTTCCCTGGACTGAAAGCTCTGCCCACGCCCGTCGTCTCGGCACCCCTCCCCCTCTCATTAATCTATTATACAAGAGTGCGCAGTGCCGAGGAGACAATCCCAGAGACTTACTTGGGCCACTACACGGGTAATTAAATTGTGTAGATTTACATTTTAATTACATACTGCTTTGTTCCTGCTTCTTCTTTTTTTTTTTTTTTTCCTGAGGGATAACACATGTATCCCCAGGAGTCAATGACACCCTCAATGGGGTGAAACTTTGTTCTTCTATTCCACACCCCCCCACACGCAAAACCTTAGCTATCCTATCAGTTTCATAATGTAAAAAAAAAAAAAAATGCATATACAACACGAGCAAATAAATGCACAACACATTTGTGATATTATAATTCCACCGAAAAGGGATCAATTAAGAGAAAAAATACCTAAAAAGGCTCTCTTGGGGAGCCACAATTCTAAATATAAAAGTTGAGAAACAGCGAATGAAGGAGGGAAGAGTACATTAAGGAAAGATGACGTCACTGCGGCAGGCCGGAAGTTACGTTGTCGCTGCTCGTTATGGGCCCACCTGAAAAACAGAAACTTCAGTCTTCCACGATTGTCCCCAAGTGTCCTCTGGCTCCATCGGCACACCCACCCTCCTATTCCCTAGCAACCGCGGACCCTCCAGCGGTCCTAGACCAGTTTTTACTTTTAACTGAGTACACAGATATGGAACTCATTGCTTCTTACTCTTTCTTCTCTGGCCTCCTCTAGGCAGTGCTGCAGCTATGGTGTAAGTGGGCCCAGCTGCCGCCTGAGCTGGCAGCCCGCCTTGGCATTGTTCACAGGATATTTGCTAGGCAGCTGTGTAGAGTGCATGAGCTGTGGGGCCCCGGAGACTTCCACGTAGATTTCAAAGCAAAGTTAGGCAGTGTGTGGCCAGGTCAGAATCCCTGGAGGCAGCCCTGAGAGTGCAATGTAGGAGGCTGCCGAGAGGGGGCGGTAAGCCAAACTGCACTGGAGATCCCAGGGAGTTAGAGACGCCAGGAGCGTGAACATCTGCCAAGGAATTTAGGGCTGGCAAGCTGAGTGAGCCTGAGATACAGCGAGAACCACAGCCGGAAAGCTGTATGGCAGACTTTTCAAGACGTTGGAGGCGCCACCCCACCAACATGTGACCCTTCAGAGGCCTGTATCCCACCGACATGACCCAGAAGCCAAACACTGGGCAACGGGATTGAATGTTTGTCCACCCCCGCCTCCCGAGTTCCAGTCCTGCTTTGGTCCCCTCTCTCTCCCATGCCTACAATCCTCCCTTGCGCAACGGCAGTGATCAGCCCACGCCTCTCCCACCACGGTGGGAGTACTTAAGAGGGACCAGAGAACAAAAGAGTTATGAGCAGGTCCAGAGTGCAGCCAGAGGGCTTCAAAGCCAGGGCCCCGTTTCGGTGGAGAGTAAGGTTTATGGCAGGTCTCATTGGGAAAATGATAACTTGGATTGCAGGTGCACCAAACGCCTTTCTTATTGCCATGACGGCAAAAGTGATTTAAAGGAAGCATCGGCTTATTAT